GTCCCCGCGAGGCAGCTCTGTGCGGGAGCCGGGCGCTCCCTGCCTGGGGCAGTGGGTGCGCTGCATCGCTGGGGTAAAGGAGCCCAGGTCTGGGGAGCAAAACTTGGGCGTTTTGTAAGGCCGTCGGTGTTTTGTTAGCTGTATGCTGCATGTCAGTGGCACATAAACTTTGCCCGACAGCATTGACAAAAGCATCAGCCGCAGGCCAGGAGATTGAGGACTGTTCTTATTTTCATTAAAAGTAGTAAACTGCATCCAGCCTTATCTTTAATACAGAAGTGTGGCTCACAGAGAGCAATGCCAGCAGATGATGTTCATTCTTGATCCAAATGGAAGCTACTTGCAACATTTTGTTGATGAGGAGTCTCTGAGGGTCACGCTTATCTTAAATGGCTGACAAAATCCAGCAAACATTTAGATGTTATAGAAGCCAGCTTTTATCAGACTTAGCACCACCAGAAATACCTCTACAACTAAATACAAATCCAGCTGAGGTTGTTTTTAAACAAATAAAACCTTTGGAAGCCTTTTTTACATTTTCATTGTCTAAACTGACAGAACTAGAAAAAAGAATTGGAGAATGTAAGCGCAGAAAGTACTTTATTTCTATCTATCTACATTGCTATTAACAATTGTAAGTAAATATGTCTCTTTATGACCTAAGATTTTAAATTGGCATTGTCCCATAAATGATGAGAGCAACTGCAGGCCGAGTTGTTGGATCCACCAGTTGCAACTGATGTACAAACTGTGCTTCAGCAACACTGTTACACTGAGATAAGCAGAGGTGCATATGTTAAATACTAGAAAGAGATGCTCCAATAAGTGAATTAATGCTAAGAAAGGAAATCTCAAAGACACTTACTCAAACTAATATCATTTGTTGATACCTGGCAGTTGATGAAACCATCTGGAATATGACCTTTGGGGAAGAGGGTATGTCTAGGTTGCTTCTAAGTATTAGGCCCGGAAACAGCAGGGAGGACAGTGGCTGGGCGCTCCACAAGCACAGAATCACAGAATCGTTGAGGTTGGAAGGGACCTCTGGAGATCATCTAGTCCAACCTCCCTGCTCAAGCAGGCTCCTCTAGAGCATACTTCCCAGGATCACATCCAGACGGGTTTTGAGTATCTCCAGGGAAGGAGACTCCACTACCTCTCGGGGCAACCTGTTCCAGTGCTCTGTCACCCTCACAGTCAAGAAGCTTTTTTTTCCTCATCTTCAGATGGAACTTCCTGTGTTTCAGTTTCTGCCCGTTGCCTCTTGTCCTGTCGCTGGGCACCACGGAGAAGAGCCTGGCCCCGTCCACTTTGACACTCTCCCTTCAGATACTTGTACACATTGATGAGATCACCTCTCAGTCTTCTCTTCTCCAGGCTGAACAGGCCCAGCTCCCTCAGCCTTTCCTCATGTATATATGAGAGATGCTGCAGTCCCCTCACCATCTTAGTAGTCCTTCGCTGGACTCACTGTGACCAGGAGTGCCATGTCTCTCTTGTAGTGGGGAGCCCAGAATTGGACACAGTACTCCAGATGTGGCCTCCCCAGGGCTGAGTAGAGGGGCAGGATTACCTTCCTGGACCTGCTGGCAACGCTTCCTCATGCTCCCCAGGACACCATTGGCCACCTTGGCCACAAGGGCACATTGCTGGCTCAT